GAGAGAGAGACACAGAATCGGAAGCAGGCTCCAGGCTCTGAGCCATCAGCCCAGAGCCTGACGCGGGGCTCGAACTCACGGACCGCAAGATCGTGACCTGAGCTGAAGTCGGACGCTTGACCGACTGAGCCACCCAGGCGCCCCGAGTTGTGACTTTTATATAGGATTTTTGCATTCATAAATCATACTGGTTGTATTAATTTGGTACTGCTGCATGACAAATTACTCCACTCTTTTAGAAATGTAAAATCACACAAATTTCGTACTTCACAGCTTCTGGGGGTCAGCAATTCAGGACCAGCTTATCTGAGTCTTTCACGAAATTGCAGTCAACCTGTAGCTAGGGTTGCGGTCATCTGCTCGCTTCACTGGGACTGCAGACTCCACTTCCACAGTCCTCAGATGGCTCACTCAAATGGCTATTGGCAAAAAGCTTCAATTCCTCATCTCGTGGACCTATCCATAGAGCTACTTATGTGTCTTCATAACATGGCAGCTGGCCTCCCCCAGAGTGATTCAAGAGAGCACGACAGAAGCCACAAGCCTATTGATGATCTAGTCTGGAAGCCATCACACATCATCACTTCTACCATATTCTATTTCCCAGAAGCAAATCACTAAAATCCAGCCCACACTTGAGGGCATGGGCATTGGTCAAAGGAAGCGGATCAAAGAATTTGTGGACGTATTTTAAAACTATGGCATTGGACTATTATTTTATTTTCTTATATTGTCTTTGGTTGTCTTACCATCTACACTAAACTCATAAATGAGCTGGGGGTGGGGAGCTTTTCTTTCTTTTTTGTCCTCTGCAATGGTTTGTCTAGGAGAGGTGTTCATTGCTGCCTACAAAATCATCTAGTTCTCATGTCTTTTTCAAAGAGATAGTGACTATCGGGGAGGGAGGTTGCTGATTTGCTGGATTTAATGTTATACATGTATTCAGGCTACAAGCTTGTTAAGAGATCAATATCTGGGGAACATATTCCAGACTAGGAAAACTTTGTTCTCACTCTCTTAAACCTCACACATCTTTATGTACTCAGCACTGGCCTAAAGTGCTGAAAATTCTCACATTCAGGCAAAATGTAAAATAGAGAAGCAACCTCATTATTTTAAACAAGCACTTCAGGATGAAGAGTTGGGGGAATTGAAAGGTGAAAGAGGTTAAATAATAAGCACTTAGTTAATAAAAGATAACCCAATGGTAGACTCCCACCTATTCTGGTAAATTTAGGATAGTAGCTCTCAAACGTTTTGGTCTTAGGAGCCCTTTACCTCTTAAACATAATTGAGGACCCCACAGAGCTTTTTGTAAATGTGGGCTATGTTTATCAATATTTACTATATTAGAAATTAAAATGGGCAGGCAGCTGGCTGGCTCAGTGGGTAGAACATAGGACTCTTGATCTTAGGATAGTGAATTCGAGCCCCATGTGGGACATGGAGCCTACTTAAAAAAAAAAAAAAAAAAAAAGAACCACTCTTTTGGGGTGCCTGGGTGGCTCAGTGGGTTGAGTGTCTGACTCTGTTTCAGTTCAGGTCGTGATCTCACAATTCATGGGATCAAGCCCCGTGTCAGACTCTGCACTGTCAGTGCTTGGGATTCTCTCTCCTTCTCTCTCTGCCCCTCCCCTGCCCGCATGTGCATGTGCACTCTCTCTCTCTCTCTCAAAATAAACATTACAGGGGCGCCTGGGTGGCGCAGTCGGTTAAGCGTCCGACTTCAGCCAGGTCACGATCTCACGGTCCGTGAGTTCGAGCCCCGCGTCAGGCTCTGGGCTGATGGCTCGGAGCCTGGAGCCTGTTTCCGATTCTGTGTCTCCCTCTCTCTCTCTGCCCCTCCCCCGTTCATGCTCTGCCTCTCTCTGTCCCAAAAATAAAAAAAAAATTAAAAAAAAAAAGTTGAAAAAAAAATAAACATTACAAAGATATATAGATATAAAGAAGTTAAAATTGAGAGTTTTAAAAACTAATATTTACTAATTCATTTGGACATAGCATTTCACATAGCCCATTTCACATTAACATAGATAAAATTTTTATGAAAAAAACTACATTTTCCAAAGCAAAACAGAAATTTACTAAGAAGGGGATTATTGCTTTACATTTTTGCAAATCTGTTTAATGCCTACCTTAAGAAAAGACAGCTAAATTCTCATATCTGCTTCTGCATTTAAGGTGTTGCAATATGTTGTTTTGGTTGAGGTACCGGAAGGACCTGGCCTCACTCAGATATGTAGTCAGGGAAGGGCAGGGTGTTTTCACAGTGTTTTCTATTAATCGTGTACATTCTTGTTAGTACACCAAAACTCAGTCAGTCTTCTCTTAAGGTTAGTTGCAATGTGAATCGCATCGAATATCAATGAACTTTTTTTTAAAGTTTATTTATTTTCAGAGGGAGAGAGAGAGAGTACACGCGCACACATGCACACAAATCAGGGGAGGGGCAGAGAAAGAGGGAGAGAGAGAGAATCCCAAGCAGGCTCCATGCTCTCAGCACAGAGACTCACATGGGGCTTGATCTTAGGAACTGTGAGTTCATGACCCGAGCCAAGTTGGACGCTTAACCGACTGAACTTTTTATGTTCTTTCCACCATGAGAGAATGAACGGGAAAGGCCAAATGACATCTTAGTAAGAGTGAGGACAATCTTAGCCTCAGGACCTCTGGAAAGACCTGGGGGTGCTCCCTGAGTCCTTTGAAACTGCAGATTTCGGCACTCAAATATTCTCTGATGCTGAGACTCACGGCCCCAGAGGATGAGAGACTGGACGAGGACTCCTGTGTCCTCATTGTGGAAGGGAAACTGCAGCCCCCGACAGAATGGGATTTGTCCAGGGTTGTTGCAGAGCAACGTTCCTTGAGTCCCCTGCTCTTTCCACTACAGGGGGAAAAACCAGAAGGAAGATCAAGAAAAGGAAGAGGAAGAGCAGCAAGTCAATGTTCTAAGGTAGCAGACCACCACCGACTCCACTTCTGATGGTTTTATGTGCTGGTGATCCAACTGATGGCTCTTCCAGGCCCTTCTTTGCCTCAGAAGTCCCTTGTTTATGCCTGCATTTGACGTTTGTCTTAGTCAGACAGTCTCACCACCAAGAGACATGAGAAAAAGCCATCGAATTCAAATCAATAAAACTGTACTTCTTATCCTTTTAAGAGGAGGGCTGGAAGAATTAAATACTTGACCATAATAATAATAGCATTTATTAAGCACTTACTACGCACTTGTGTATGCATTCATTCATTCACTCTTTATTTCTTTCCTTCTTCCTTCTTTCCTCCTTCCCTCTTTAGTCTCTCCCCTCCTTCTCTCTCTCTCTCCTTCCTTCCTCCCTCCCTTCCTCCCTCCTTCCCTTTCTTTCTTCTTTCTTTCTTTCCTTCACTACTCACCAAGTACCTGTTATGTGCCAGGCATGTTACAACGTACACAATGGTAGAGAAAACAGACACAGTCCAAACACTTCACATCCATTATTCACTTATTAATCCAACAATAGGTGCGGTAGGCACTGTCAGAATGCCCATTTTAGTGATGAAGTCACTGAGGCAGGAGCGGTGCTTACCGAGCTCACAGAGCTAGTGAATGAATCTGGGTCTAACTCTGCAGCTGTTCCCTGTAAGCACAATAGTATATTGCCTCCAGAATGGCTGTGAGCCACTGGTAGTTTGTGTGAATTTATGCCTCCTGGAGTCCAGCATGGAAGATTGAGTCATTGCGCCACCCCTTTTGACTCTCTCACCTTCCTTCCCTGAACCCCTAACCCAACACTGTAACCTTACATCCAAGAGCCAGGACGTGGCTACACAGCTTGACAGGAATGGCAGGTCAGAGCCAGCTGTGTGCTAGACCTGGTCGAGTGGTGATGGTGGCGATGGTGATGAGGACAATGACAGCCTGGGGGAGGGGAAGGGCCAGTAACATCTCTGATCATCTCTAAAAGACTCTGAGGTAAGAGGTGGAAATCTAAGGACATTCACTTCCTCTTATATTTAAATTTGAGGGTAAAACACTGGTCTTCCAGGGGCCCTAGCCAAGGAAAGTCAGATTTGCATCATTGGATTTCCTTCTCTACAAGGGGGAGGAGAAAAAAGGGAGCACTCGTTCTCTTTCTAGGAGAAGATGGGGTGGAGTGAAAGGGGAGAAGGTGGAGAAAGGAGGGGAAAGGAGAGGGGGAGAGAAGAAGGAGGGAGGGGGAATGGAGCCCTTTTCTGGAGAAGGAGCTTGTTGGGGCCGCTTCCCAGGTCAGCAGCACCTACCCTGAGGCCAGACCATAAAGGGTTTTCTGCAGGGGAGGATCAGTGCAGGGGAGGATGAGTGCAGGGGAGGATCAGTGCCTGCTCTGAGCACAGTGCTCTGTGGCTCTCTGCTACCCACCCACCCTGCACCCTGCACCTTCCAGTCCCACCCAAACTCCCATGGGGTCGTTTCAGTGCTGGAACAACTTTCCTGAAAGCCCCTTGTCATGAAGAAAACACTGGACTAGGAGTCAGACCTTCTCAATTTGAACTGAGCCTTTGTTACCTCAGGCTACAGAACCCAGAACCTGCTGCTTACTCTTTCTGGGCCTCAGTCCTCCTCATCCGTAAAATGGTACAAAAATACCTTCTCTGCCTGCTGCCCGGGATATTTATGAGGATCTCAATAAGTGCTCCATCTAAACGCACTTTATTATCATCATCAACCTACACCATAATCATGCTTATAGATAATACATGCCAAAAGTGACAAATGCCCTAATTTATGTATTCCCTTGTTCCTGACACTTCACGAAGATGGGGGCTTTTCTGGCAGTGTCCAAAATTGCAGTAGCCTCTCATGCCCACTCACCTCCTTGGGCATCCATGGATTTCCCCAGGTTGACTTCCCCACCCTAGCCAATTGGGGGGAACACACTTATTTCTTTAAATACACAGGAAATGGGAATTTATCATAAGATAAAAGGGTTTGTTTTTTTTATAATCAGATAGTTTGGAAAAATGATAAAATAACTTGTCATCTTACTGTCTGAATATAACCACTATTGCAAATGGAAGATTATATCGAAGCAGGGTCATGAACCCAGGCTTTGGAGTCAGACAGACCTGTGTTCTGACACTTAGCAGCTACATGACCTTGGGGCACCTTACTAATTTCTCTCAGTCCCAGAGAGAGTATGAATGCTCCCTCCAGTGGGAGATGTGGGAGTTGGGGGGGGGGGCGGGAGGAGTAACTGGGGGTAACACATGTGTAAAGCCCTGCCCCACAACAAGTGCTCAGGAAGTGTTAGCTGCTGTTATTTTTCTAGTGATTATCTCTGCAGACTTTTAAAAATGCATACATAATACACATAAGAATACCTATGGTTTCAAAAATAGGAGTCATGACATTTTATAAACTGCTTTTGTTAACAGCATATCATGTTTTTTCACGTGAGAAAAATTCACATCTGTGACATCTCTTAGTGCCTGCAGAAGGCGTCCTGAGGGTGTTTGCTATTTCATGTAACCTGTTCCCTATCGCTAAACACTTAGTTTCTTCCCAATTTTGGGGGGCTGATTTGAATAATGTTACAATTAATATTGTAAATGTTAATATTGTAATTATTAATATTATTAGTAACATTAATGTTATTAATATTGTTATTATTTCCTTAGGTTCTTTCCCAGATACTTTTCTAGACTGGCTAACATCCAAGTTCATAAACATTTTTGAGGTTTCATGGGCACTTCCAATTTTCCTCCAGAAAAATACAACTTCCCGCACCTGGCTAGCCATAGGTATTTGTTATTATTATTTTTTTAACTCTTTGATAAGCAGACTTTTTACTGTAGGATTACCATCCCACACCACTCACCCAGCTATGCCTGTCCTGTGAGTCTCCTGCCTTGGCGGTCTGGGGGCCTGACATCAGACCACCTCAACGTGGCTCCATCCGGGGTCTGCACTCCCCTGATGACACCCTTTCAAGAACTGTCCTTAGCTGGACAGTAGTTCTTAGTCCCCACTGTGATCTCCTCCCTTACAGCTTATATCTTCTTTGTGCATATTGAGAGTTAAAGACACGACCACCTGAGTTAAAGACACGACCACCTGGTTTGGTCGTTCCATATGCTGGCTTAGCAGAGATTTATTTACCTAATTATCCCAGTCCTTCGAGGATCCATAAAACAAACAGTGCATTTACACCAAATACGCACCTCGGTAAAAAACCTTCAAACCTTCAAAGACAGGAGGTTTCCGTCTTATGATAATCATGGTAATAATGTACATTTGTAGAGCAATTTGCAACTTGCAAACATAATGACATACACTATATGTGTAATACTCAAAACAATCCCGGGATTTTTATTATCATTAAAAATTATTATTTCTGGGGTACCTGGGTGGCTCAGTCGGTTAAGCATCCAACTTCGGCTCAGGTCATGATCTCACAGTTCACAGGTTCGAGCCCTGGGTCAGGCTCTGTGCTGACAGCTCAGAGCCTGGAGCCTGCTTCAGATTCTGTATCTCCCTCTCTCTCTGCCCCTCCCCCCACTTGCTCATGCTCTCTCTCTCTCTCTCTCTCTCTCTCTCTCAAAAATGAGTAAAATTAAAATATTTATTATTATTTCTGTTTTACAAAGGGAGAAACTGCAACTCAGAAAATCGTACTGAGTTGCCCATGACTAAAGCTGGAGTCTGTTCTTCTGACTAAATTCTAGATTCTCATGCCACTTTGTGAACATAAATTAACCATGTTATTGAGGGTGAATTGATCACTAGAGTTCTCCTACCGGGTATCCGATGGATGTGTGGGTAGAGGGGGTGGTGGTTGGAAGAGAAGAGGAGGAGAAAGAGGGAAACAGAGAGAGGGAGAGGGAGAGAGAATTTTGCTTTGGGTTTCCTAAAATTCTAGCTTTACTGCCTATCTGATAATAATGTTTGGGGCCCCTGGGTGGCTCAGTCGGTTGAGCGTCCGACTTCGGCTCAGGTCAGGATCTCACAGTTTGTGAGTTCGAGCCCTGTGTTGGGCTCTGTGCTGACAGCTCAGGGCCTGGAGCCTGCTTCGGATTCTGTGTCTCCCTCTCTCTCTGCCTCTCCCCCACTTGTGCTCTCTCTCTCTCTCTAAAATAAATAAAATGTAGAAAAAAAAATCCCAAAATTTAATGATAATGTTTAAAGTTGAATACTCTGTCTCAGGGTCATTCTGCAGCCCAGAAGGCATTTTAGACTCTTAAACTCTTCAGCTTATGCTTTCAGATGCGGCACAGATAGTCTGATTATTTATAGTCTGGCATTTCCTAAACGAGGCAGTGTTTGGGGAGGAAGTCAGCCATCCTGACAAATGCTGAATGTTCAAAATTCAGCTGAATAATCAACGAATCTAAAGTTTCACGTTAGAAGGTATGAAGGTGGAAGGCTGGTTTTTATTCTCCTCTGAAAGGTAAGTCCCAGGCTGTAGCCGCTCAGACTTGCTCCGCCCTTCCCTCGGGGCGTGGATCTGGCCTCTCTGGAAAGGAACTGGCTTTCCACAGGGAAGCCATCTGTAGCTCCTCCACGGAGGCCACCCTGAAGCCAGATCAGTGTCCCTCTTAATGGCCCTCAAACCCCCCGTCTGCATGCAAACGGACTACAGGCCCTTCGTTTCACACAGGATCATAGAACTCAAAGTGGGAACGGACCTCAAAGGTCATCTAGTGCCGGAGTCCTTCTGACATCCCTGGCGGGTAGTGGGGCTGCCTCCCCTTGACCTTCCAGAACAACATTGTCCCAGAGGCTCAGAAGGTCCTTCCTCGCACACAAGAGCTCCCTCCCTTTGGTCCCGGTTCTGCCCACCACCACCTTCCTCTTGGCTTCAATCCCCACAGAGGGCGGTGGCTGCCCCACATCCCCCAGACGGCCTCCCTTACAGACCAAGAGCCCAGGCCCTGCCCAGGGTGGGTATTCCCACCTGGAGGACGAAAGGAGATCATGCATGGACAGTGCTCACCATGGTGCCTACACATAGTATGTGCTCAGTAAACCTGGCTGTCTTTATTATCTATTCTCATTTCTCCAAGCAGACTTTTAGCGTGTCCACATTTCTCACGGTCTTTCATCTGGACATCCTGAC